AAAAAAAAAAAAAAAAGAATAAATGACAGAAAGATTTTTTGGATACAGTACCCTTTTTTTCCTTTCTATAACAATATGGGAGGTGATGGCATTGTTTGCTAAGATAAGCAAAGTTACCTCATTTTACTTTATTTTATAAATAAAATAAAAATTTTATTTTTAAAATTTCATGTATCTTAAAGACTAGCTAAAGTGAAAAGAATCATCAAAATCATTGTGTAATTTAGCTGTGTGTAGAACCATTTGTCACTTGTTATTTTGAGAGATGCAATGGGACTTTACAAATCTATTTACGGATTCTGATTATCAAGGACTATGACATGAATTTGAGTTTAAAGACAGTTTTTTGTTTGTTTGTTTTTTGTGCTTTGTTTTTTTGCGGTACGTGGGCCTTTCACTGTTGTGGCCTCTCCCGCTGTGAAGCACATGCTCCGGATGCGCAAGCTTAGCAGCCATGGCTCACGGGTCCAGCCGCTCCATGGCAGGTGGGATCTTCCCAGACCGGGGCATAAACCCGTGTCCCCTGCAACTCTCAACCACTGCGCACCAGGGAAGCCCAGGCAGATGGATTCTTAACCACTGCACCACCAGGGAAGCCCCAGCCGATGATCTTTGAAAACCTGAGTCCAGTCACATGAGTCCTCCACCCAAACCCCTCCTAGCTTACCTTCTCACTCGGCTAAAAGCCAAAATGATCACCGTGATCTTCCAGGCCCTCCAAGAGCCCACCCTGGGGCCCTAGTCACCTAGCCCATCTTCTGGGCCCGGAACCCCACCCTCTCCTGCACTTGGCGTTTCTTCTCCCAGACATCTGGGTAGCTTGTTTCCTTAGCCTCTGCTCAGGGCTGCCTAGGAGAGGCCCACTCCGACAGCCCTAGCTATAGTAAGCCAAGCACACCCCTCCCCGCCGGGTTGCCCATGCCCCTCCATTTCCTGTGCCTGCCTTGTTGGAATTCCCACAGGAGAACACAGTGTTCCAGAGAGCAGGGACTTAGTGGTGTTCCCAGAGTGTCCTGTTTAGTGGCTGCCTTTGTTACGGGACACCGATTCCAATATGTGTGTGTGTGAATTCACCAGCTGGTGTCCTACAGTTCATCTCAATTATGACACCATCTACCTGACGAGAGCGTCTGATCCCACAGGGTAAGGGCTCAGTCTCACAAGACTGCTCCCACTTCAGGAGACAATCACAAGTTCAGGTTTGTCAGCTGTGCTTCTGACAATAGATCAACTATAGTTTCTGGCTATAGCTTGGAGGTTCCCAGAGACCCCCCCCTTTCTTGAGTTTGACTGATTTGCTAGAGTGGTTCACAGAACTCAGGAAAACATTTTACTTACTAGATTACCAGTTTATCATAATAGGATATAACTCAGGAACAGGCAGATGGAAGATGTGCACAGGGCAAGGTGCAGGGAAAGCACAGAGTATCCATGCCCTTTGTGAGTCCTCGACACACCCAGAATCTCCACATGGTCACCACCCTAGAAGCTCTCCAAACACAGTCCTTTGGGTTTTTATGGAGGCTTCATCATATAAAAGTGATTAAAACCTTTGATTAATGGTAATTGATTCAACCCCCATGCTCCCTCCCCTCCGCAGTGGTCAGAGGGTGGAAAATTCCAAACTTCTAATCACTTAGATGGTTCCCTGGCAATCTGCCTCTATCCTCAGGGGCTTTCTAAAAGTCACTTCATTAACATAAACCCAGGTGTGGTTGAAAGGGGTTTGTTATGAATATCAAGGCACCTTTATAGCTCTTATCACTTAGGAAATTCCAAGGGATTAGGAGCTCTGTGCCAGAAACCAAAAATGGAGACAAAGACCAAATATATATTTCTTATTATAGATCACAATATCACACTGCCTCTTCTACTAGAATGTTAGATCCGTGAGACAATTCTCCCCTGTGGCCCCAGTGCCTATGAACGACGCCAGGCACATGCAGGTGATGAATAAGTATTTGCTGAGTGAGGACAATGAAAGATACTTGCCCAGGGGTCAGCAGCAGGGCCTCCTTAGAACTCAGGTGTCCAGACGGACAGCCTGGGAGTCCATCCAAGCCTGGTCCTGGCCCAGGCAGCTAAGAGTCTGAGAGTTTGGCTGACAGAAGACATCCAAACCCCAAACCCCTGCAGAACAGTCTAAGAGAGGCTTACATACCACTACACATATGTCAGAATAGAAGTAATTCCATGAGGTTCAATGGATCATGCAATGTGGAAACCTTCAAGGCCAGATGAACTAGGCCTTACTGGAAATACTGAATTTGGATTGGTGAAGAGCAGGTGGGGAGAGATTCCAGGCTTAGGGAGCAGTGTGACTCACAGAACCTTGGAACCTTAGAGCGGAACATAGATGGGAAAAAACAAGGCCTGTTCTGAGAAGGGTAAGGAGACCTCTCCCTTGGGGCTGGTGGGGAGGAGGGCAGGGCAGGGTTCAATTAGCAAGTTGGTGCCTGTTCCCTGAGGGTCTCAAGGGACCTCTGCCTGAGGAGCCAGCCTTTGACTTTGTAAGCAGCAGGGGACTCCTGTAAGCTCCTGGGTAAGGAAATGAATTGAAGTAGTCAAGTAAGTCAAGTAACCGCTTTGGCCACCTGGGGACTGGCTGTAGCTGGGAGACTGGAAGGCAGGGAGACCCACCCAGAGGCCCTGGGGCAACCCTGGGGATACTGTAGGGATGGGAAATGGAGGGAACCTGCAGGCCCTGGGACCTCGCTGGGTTGGGGGATGGAGGAAAATGTGGACCCATGAGTTAGTCCCTGGACACCAGGGAAATTTTGGTCCTTTGTGGGCTGTTAACACTCAATTTGGGATGCCACTGGTCCACTGTGAGATCTGATTTCTTTCCCTGAAAATGCAGGCACTTCAGTCAAAATTTTCTCTGATTTGGGCCTTTGATGTATGATGATGTACCATACATCAATATGGTACCCCCAGGAATGGTGGAAGGAAAGAGGCTTGATCAATGACATGGATCATTTTCTTAGTACCTGTCACTCTACCCTCCTCAAGCTGGATTCTAGTAAATAGCCAGGGAAGTGACTTGTCAGCGGGCACCCGAGGGAGGAACTCAGGCCAGCAGAGGCTGCTGAGGTGGTCCCTTGGGAGATGATAGTGTCCTAACGCAGTAAGAGAAATGAGGGGCTGGCCTGAAGGAGGAGGAGGAGGCCAACAGCTCTCCAAATCCAGATAGGCAGCACCCAAAAGTGCTCCTCTCACCCAAATTCCCAGCCATGGTCTCCTGGGCAAGAAATCCCTGCTTCTCGCATCTGTACTTCTAAAGTGGCCAAACTGTCACCGCTGGCTGTAGCACATCTGGGGGCAAGTCTTACTGTCCCCACTTGGGACTCCCCATACCTTCTGCCATGCCCAGCCTCTGCCCACCCTTCACACACTGCTCTCTCTGATTCCCTATGAATACTGAGGGGAGCCCTTTGCACCAACAGACACTTCTGCCACACCCTCCTGGCCCCCCCCCTTCCCCTTCCAACAACCATCTTCAACGCCCCGTCACCGTCTGGGTCTTAGAGGCCACTTCAGAACCAGAGAATACAAGGTATATTTTGGCACTCAGGGTTTACCAGAGAGGAAAAGAGATGGAAATAAAGCAAACCAAAGCCTGCCTTTGCTTAGCGAAATATTCCTCCCTTCAATTAAGGGACAAAAAAAAAATCCTATTTAGGGAAGTAAGGAAAGGCAGTGATGATCATGAAAGTTCAAAGTCTAGTTCACCCAAGAAGTGAATCTGAAAGGGCAGGGTAAGGAAGAGTGTAGAGACAACGAAGAATCCTCTTGGATTCCCAGGAGCAGATGTCCTTGGTAAATAAGACATAAAAATCGGAGCATTGGTTTGGTATGCCCTGATTCATTTGAACTTTGATTCTAGTTTATTCCAGGAGGCTCCCAGCCTCCTGCACGGACTCGGGAAGAGCCCGCCACCCTAGGGGGGCTGCGGTCCTTTTCTCCCACACTCTGCCGCCTCCTCTCTCCGCCGGTGGCGGACCGAACTGATGCTTCTGGGAAACGAAACTAACCCGCTCTAAAGTTTCCAGCTCGGCTTTTTGTTTCCCGCTCTCCGCGGTGTCCCACGCTGGGCGCGGCGCGGGGCGGGGCCGGGAGCCGCCGGGGCGGAAAGGCCCGGGAGGGTGCAAGGACCAGGGGTCTCTGTGCGGCGCCCGGCCCCGACGGCGGGCGGGCTGGCTGGGCTGGGCTGGGCTGGGCTGGGCTGGGCTGGGCTGGGCTGGGCTGGGCGGGGCGGCCACTAACCGCGTCTCCGTGCGTCCCGCAGGCGGGGAGCCCGCGCCGCCGCGCCGGGCCGCCGGCGATGATCACCTAGGAGGCTGGCGCGGGCGGGCGCGAGCGGCGGAGGAGCCGGGCGCGGCGATACGCGGCCATGGAGTGGGAGCCGGCGGCGGCTGACGAGCCCGGGACCCCGGGACGACGGCGGCGGCGGCGGCGGCGGCGGCGGCGGCGGGAGGGCAGGACGCGCACGGTGCGCTCCAATCTGCTGCCGCCCTCGGGCGCCGAAGACCCTTTGGCGAACGCGGCCAAGGGCGCGCGGCGGCGGCGGCGGCGGTGCGGGGGCCCCCAGCACCTGGCCGACAACCGGCTCAAGACCACCAAGTACACTTTGCTGTCCTTCCTGCCCAAAAACCTGTTCGAGCAGTTCCATCGCCTGGCCAACGTGTACTTCGTCTTCATCGCTCTGCTCAACTTCGTGCCGGCGGTGAACGCCTTTCAGCCCGGCCTGGCACTGGCGCCCGTGCTCTTCATCCTGGCGGTTACGGCCTTCAAGGACCTGTGGGAGGACTACAGCCGTCACCGCTCCGACCAAGAGATCAACCACCTGGGCTGCCTAGTCTTCAGCAGGTAAGCGGAGTGGGCGGGGCGGCGCTGGGTCCGCGCAGGGCCGGGGCGCTCCCGGAACGTTGGCGTTGGGCGCGGTGTGAGTGGCACGGGGTGGGGAGCCCCGGAGAGAGCAACTCAACTCTGGGTGGAGGGCCGGGCCTCGAGGGGCCGGGGGCCGAGCCGGGACTCTGCGACTCGGGTCGCGGAGAGCAATAAACCGTAGATGTCGGGGCGTGGGGGTACCCTGTCCTTGATTGTCACTCAGACGCCGCTTCTGAGCCTAGGGATACCAGGGCTGGAATCCAGAGGCAGCTGGGCGTCCTCATTCCCAGCCGCTCCTGCCTTATAAGTAAAAAGGAGGGAAATCTATTCCCGGGCGCCCCAGCCTGAAGTCCCTGCCTCTATCTTCAGCCAGGCTCCAAGCGCCAGGATATTGAACGACTTTAACAACCTACACAGGAATGAATGTAAAGCTCGGTCTTAGATAACATTTCATCTTGGGACAACAGAGTGAAACTGCCACCAAGTGCTGACACGCCAGGCAGAGACCAGTTAAAAGGGAATGGGTAGTAACAGCGGCATCCATCCATTGACGTGAGCTGTGAGCAGGCCACCCAGCTGGGTGCCATCCCATAGTTGACTGTTTAGTTTTTTAAAAATTAACCCCAGTTTCCAGATGGAAAGACTGAGGCTTTGAGGGGTTTTTCAAGCCCTGTCCACAGTTAGTACCAAGGAATGTACTTCCTCTGGGCTCCTCCTGCACCTCCCTAAAGTTTTGGAACCTCAGGCGGGACCTGTCTGGGAGGCTTCTGTCTCTTCTCTCTTTACACTCCCCACCCCAAGAGAGCCACTTGGCTGCATATCCGTCTTGGAGCTGTGTCTAGTAGTGGAGTCCACCTTAAGGCCGCACCCCTCAGGAAGGCAGATGGTCTTGGCCTCCATCCAGAGCTCAGCCCATCTTACCCTCCTGTTGTCTTTGCTTGAGTCTCAGTGTAGGGGCTGATATGGGCCTCTGAGGTGAAGGACATTAGCCTTGTTCAGCCACCATTACATGTGAGCGGACTCCAGGAAGCCCCTTGTACTCTCAGTGGGCCATGGTTATTCCTGCCTCTTAGGATAGTTTAGACGAAGACCATGAATGCCTTTGAGTATCTCTGACCCTCCCAGCAGCACTGATTGTGCCTTATACTTACTTTACAAATGAATAAACAGAAGTTCAGAGAGGTAACTTGCCCAAAGCCACACAGCTGCTATGTAAGTAGTATTAGAATTTGACCCAGGTCTTCCCGACTTCACAGCTTTTACAATACTCTGGTGCTTTACAGTACTCTGGTGATTCTTAAATTATGTAAGAATCAGCCTGAGGGACTTATTAAAAGTAACAATTTAACAACTTGAATCCCAGGCTCATCTGGGATTGGGCCCAGGAATCTGTGTATTTAATTAGCACAGAGGTGATGCTTATATCATGACCCACTTTTGAGTAATGCTGCCTGCTTGCCGTCAAGGGGTACGCATTGTCCAGTCAGCAAGCATGACATCGATAGAAAGGGCTGTGGGGTTTCCTGGCTCCTGTTTCCCAGGCTCTTGAAGCCAAGAAGGGAGGGGGCACCCTTATGCAGATGTCCTCAGGGTCCCCCCTTTCAGCACTCCAGTCTGTTCTGCTCACCATGACCCCAATGGGGCTCCAGGTTTTAGTCTTTACACATGTATCACTTCCTGTTATTACTCAGCTGGTAGCTCCTGTAGCCTCCTTTTTAGGAATACTTAGGCCTCAAGAAACAGTTTATTTTCAGCTGACAAAGTGCTTTCCACCCGTGAAGTCAATTAACCCTTAAAACAACCATCACCCCCAACATGCCCATGAGAAAACTCAGAGTGGAACCCCAAAGCAATCTCTGGACTCCATGACCTCGGAATGCTTCATGGGATTCTGAAACCTTCATCTTCCTCGTGGACCCACCCATCCCCGTTCTCTTCCCCTTCTACCCTGACCTGACCTGGGTTCTCAAAAGCTGGGTACAGCCCTCGGGGGCGAGGCCTCGGGGATAATGGTGCTTTCAGGAGGAGTTCCCCAGAACCTCCCAGTTCCCAAGTCAAATTCCTTGAATGCTTTCCTGGGGAGAGAACTGGCCTTCTTCCTAGAGAGGCTCCGTGGGTGTGAGATGGTGGCAGCTGTGTGTGGAGAGGAGGCCTGCCTGGAGGAGAGCCATCCCTTTTCAGAAGCCAGGTCAAACTTCTCTGGGCCCAGGAAGTCTGGGATGGGTGTTTTCCGGCCTAGGCTTTGAGTCCTGTGGATGTCTGAGCCCTCCCTGTCCTCTGATTGCATTTCACGCTGTATGTGGCTGCCTTGCTGCTGTTGCCCATCGGCTCAAACCAGTACCCTGAGCTCTTCCTCACTGATCCAGACCCAGGCCAGGCTCTGGAGAAGGGAGAGTCTGGGTCTCATCTGGAGCTTACCGTGGGGACTGATTGCACCATGGGGCATGTCCGTGGGGGTCCTGGGTGGGGCTGCTAGCCCAGAGAGGCAGCTCAGGAGACTCCCTGCAGAGGGCATGAGTCTGAGGACCAGGGAGCATGGCGCACATAACAGAGTCAGGGCCCCCTGAGACTGCAACCAGGTCTTAACCTGTGCGCAGGGACGTATACGGCCTTGAAGTCAGGATCTCAGAGAGCTGGCACTGAGGCTGGCCAGAGAAGCCTGGGAAATGGCATTTTATGTCAGGCCAGAGTTCGTTCAAGGCCTTTGGTGACTACAGAGGCAGTGGCCCCACAGTGGTGCACAGTCAGGGTCTGTCCTGTGTCGTGTCACTGCTCTGGTGGCTGTGAAATGGGGCTTCAGTCAAGTGAATGTAAATGCAGGGTGAGAGCATACTTTAGTTGTGGAAGCCTGACTTGTTGACAGTGTCTCTGGAGGGTTGCTCCTCTGTGTTCTGACTGGAACGTGCAGTGCATCAATGATTTGTACCGTTATTTATGTGGTGTGTCCCCATAACGGAGTCCTTGGGTCCCCTCTCTGTGAGAATCCCCCATCAGGCTTGCTGGAAGTGCAGGTTCCCAGGTTCTCCTTCCCCGCCCCCCCCAACCCGGGCTGCTGAGCCTCTGGAGGTGGGAGGCTGGTGTCCACATCACAGCTTGGTTTGCACGAACAAACCTGAGCGGAGGTCCTATTTCCACGGCCTGAGCCCACGGTATCATTTCCTGGATTTCAGGCTGTGTTTAGGAAAACCCTCCTGAGCCAGCAGGATAGGAGTGCAGTGGGTGATCCTGGGGGTTCAGGTCCTGCCTGTGGCCCCCACCCTGGGGGAAGGTCAGTCTGAGCATCACTCGGCTGTGGACTAGTGCGATGGGGGAGGCATGGAAGCCCTTTCTGGTCACATAAACCTCCCTGGTGTTGGTGAAAGTTGGCTGGAGAAGCCACCTCCTTCTGGGCATAGGTGGAAAGAAAGGGGGTGACTGAGTTCTGTCCCCCTTCCCTCCCAATGTGACCTCAGGTTTCTGTTGCTGGGGGGCTTGGAGTTCACTTTAGCTGGCAGGCATCCACCTCCAGTACCAAGTGAGCATCCAGCTGGGACAGGACCGGCGCCACCAGAGGCTGGGATGAAGGGGGCAGCGAGTGACCACAGGTCCCAAGGCAGGTGGGACTGACAGCGGAGAGGGGACAGGAGTGCAGAGACAGCCCAGAGAGTGGCGGTTCTGGTGGTGGGAAAGCAGAGCATGGTTATCAGAGGAGGAGCTGGGGGGAAATTTAAGAAGAAACATTCCTGGAAGGGGATTTGCCCAAGAGAGGTGAAAGGCGGAAGCAGGGGTCCAAGCACTCATCCACCTCTTCAACCACAGGGCGAGGGGGTAGCCCGTTAAAACCAGAAACCTTGCCCCTGCTGCCAGAAATGGAATGAGCCTCAGAGTGGCGCAGCCTGAGGTGGGGGTCCTGCCTGGCCGAGACTCTGCACAAGCCCCCCTGCCTCACTTGCACTCCATTTCCTAACTAGTCAAGTGCGGTACTGGCCCCCGGTCCATGTGCCCTTTCTGGCCCTGATCCTGTGGCCCTGGGAGAGTTTGGCACCTTTGTGCTATGGGCTCCCCGCCCTCTGCCCAAACCCTGCCTGGGTTTTTGTGTAATGTTTTCCCTTTTGCTTCCATACTCTTTGAGATAACTCAAACACAGGCACCTTTCAGTGTCTGACTCTAGGATGATGGAAACAGCAGCGTTTCTGCATGAATTAACCCAAGGTGACTTTTCCCTGAATCTTTTGGGCTTTGGGGGCTCTGTTCTTGGATTTGAGTATGGCATCTTGGTGTCTTTCCATCATCTTTTGGGAAAACAGGTAGTCAGGGCATGCTCTAATGCTTATCTTGGAATTACTCTGATTTTTGTCTCTTCCCTTTCCTTTGATTCTCGCTTTGTTCCCCCAGCTCATCAGGGTTATCTGTCCAATTTGCTTACCCTGGGCTTCATGATTTGTTTTTTCAGAAGAGCCTGAAATGGGACCTGACAAAGTTCTCCTTTTGTTTCTGTCCATTTATCTTGTCTTGGTCCTCCTTTCCTCCCTTTCCTGGAGAGGCCAGTCTCTTCCTCTCCACCAGCAGAAACATTTTGCCCTTGGGAAGCACAGCATCTTTGTCTTATTTGGAGTAAAAGATTTGAAAAAGCAGAGGTACCAGCGCAAGACCCAGGGGACAGAGACATATCAGGACAATGCAAGTCTTTAAGCAGGAACATCCCTCTGGTGTGCTAGTTTGGGGGATACTTGAGGAATAATATTTGGACATTGCCATTCACATGGTTTTTGGAAATAATTTTTCTTTTGATACCTTTCATGAGTCATAAATAGGGTCCAGTTATAGAAAAAGAACCTATCTTTCCCGAAAAACTTACTTGCCTTCAGGAGATAGTCTTGTTCATGGGAAGGTTCTTTTTATACTTGTTAATATGAGACAAGTGTTTTAGTGCACAGTTCCATCTTAACATCCTGATGGTCCTATTTTCATATCCCCATTTCACAGATGAGGAAACTGAG